GCCTTCTTCCATTGCTCCATGGTCAAGTTTTGACTCTCATGCCCATTGAAGGTGCTTTCAGCAGTGGACAGTCATCATGGGCACTCTGACCGGTCTGCAGCTGCACAGCCCCATACACAGAAAGCTGTGATGCAGTATGTGTTCTGTCAGCTTTCTATCAATGCCTTTTTTCTGCAGTTTGTGCTATAGTAGTGCCCCTGTGTGATCGGGCCAGACGGGCTATCCTTCCCTCCTTATGCGCATCAATGAGCCTTGGTTGCCCATGACCCCGTCGTCAATTCACCTCCTTACGCTAGCCCATTTTTCCTGCTTCCAGCACAACTTCAAGACCTGACTGATCACTTTACTAATATATAATGGCGCCCTTGTCAGGTGCCACTGTACCGATGTAATCATGTTATTCACTACACCTGTCAGTGGTTTTAATGTTATGGCTGATTGGTGTATATACTGTATACTAATCAGCTAACATGAATGGACATTTGTTTGTAACACTCATAATTATAGGAGAATTTTCTAGTTTTGTTAAAGGGTTTTTAAATTATTAATAAAATGTATTACTTACGCAGACAAAGAGAATACTTTATTAATTTATTAATATTATTATATATTCCGGTTTAATGGATGCAATGTTTTATGTGCTTTACAAACAAATTTAATTCTGTGACAATGTAGAAAAGCTCCCCAACAGTCATTTAATGACAAATTTTGTCGTCCTTTATATATTAAATCCCAGCTTCATTAATGTTTTAGCACATATCCGCTTCATATTGCTTTATTAATACATAATGAATTTTTGTGAATTTCAATTGCGAATAAATAAAACAAATCACATTAGTAAGGAATTACATAACAACATAAATGTTGAATCTTTATTAAGAAAAGTTTGGAGAGATTTAGTAGCAAAGTTAATTAATGCAGATTCAGATCCATAAAGCTTTTTGGAGATGTATCAAATGGTTTAAATGCAGTTTCCTTTTTAAGCTTTTCAATCATATACTGTAACCATTCTGTCACACACTGATCAACCATAAGATTAAAACCATTGACAGGTGTAGTGAATGACATTGATTATTCTCTTTACGATGCCACCAGTCAAGGGTAGCATTATATATTAGGCAAGTGAAAAGTCAGTTCTTGAAGTTGACGTGTTGGAAGCAGGAAAAATGTACAAGTGTAAGAACCTGAGCGACTTTGACATGGGCCAAATTGTGATGGCTAGACGACTGGGTCAGAGCATCTCCTAAACGGCAGGTCTTGAGAGGTGTTCCCAGTCTGCAACTGGTGAACTGGAAATGGGGTAGCCTGTCTGGTCTGATCACACAGGAGAGATACTGTAGCATGAAATGCTAAAAAAGTTACCGCTGGCTATGATAGAAAGGTGTCAGAACACGCAGTGCATTGCAGCTTGCCGCGAATGGGGCTGCGAAGCTGCAGACCGGTCAGGGTGGCCATGCTGCCCCCCCCCCACTGCCACCAAAAGCACCTTCAATGGGCATGTGAGCGTCAGATCACGGAGCACTGAAAGAAGGTGGCCTGGTCCATTTAGTCACGTTGTCTGTTACAACATGTGGACGGCTGGGTGCAAGTGCGTCGTTTACCTGGGGTAGAAGAGAAGGCAAACTGGTAGAGGCAGTGTGAGTCTCTGAGCAATGTTCTACTGGGAAACCTTGGGTCCAGGCATTAATGCAGAAGCTACTTTGACACGTATCACCTTCTTAAACATTGTTGCTGAACAAGTTACACCTCTTCATAGCAACAGTACTCCCCGACACAACGGCCTTTTCAGCACAATAATGCGGCCTGCTACTCTGCAGAAATTATTCACGAATGGTTTGAGGAACATGAAAAAGAGTTCGAGGTGTTGACTTGGCCCCCAAATTCCCAAGATCTCAATCCAATGAAGCATCTGTGGGATGTGCTGGAAAAACAAGTCCGATCCATGGAGGCTCCACCTCATATCTTACAGGACCTGTGGAGTCTATACCTCAGTGGGACAAGCAGGTGGATTTAATGTTACGGCTGATTAGTGTACTTAATAACTAGTTGGTGGTAGTATTGGGACAGTGAATTGAGTACTGAGAGAATCCTTTACAACAACAAGGCTGGTAAAATGACAGATCTAACCACTCATCAGGACAACTGCATACCACAAATATCTTACTGCCAGCTAAAATATTGTGCTCAACAGCCCCTAGTTTCCTAAAACAGAACAACAGAAAACAAAACAAAAAAGCAGAATAAGATGTCGCTCTGCGGGGCTCTCTAAGGATCGAGAATGGTGTTTAATAAAGGCGGAAACCAAAATGGAAAATGTCTCCTCAGCAGGACAGAAACAGCAAGGATGCTCACGGGGCCTGCCGCTCTCCTCCAGCGTAGCCGGTGAGAGAACGAGAGGCACGCAGAAGGTCAAAGCCCTTCTCAGTCTCTCCAGACTCAAAGCCATCAAGGCCTCTGTGTTTTTTTTCTTTTAGAAACCAGCCGCACATACTTTCAAAGAAATGTGGACATTAGGTCACTTCAAAAGTGACATCAGCAGCAGTAACAATGTATCATTCCCAAATGGGCACAAGTTTAAGAAAAGCCGGTCTTGTTGCCACGCAGCTCAAGTTGTTACTCTGAAGATGATAAACTTACTGTAAATAAGCCATTACGGGTAAAATCACTTAGAAGGGACTCAGATTTCTCACAAACTGCATACAGGCCATTAATATCAAATGGTCAATATTTAGCTATTTTATACTGTATAAGTTACTGAAGATGAAAGGAGTTGGGATTAAGACTGATAATGGTTATATCTTTCTGATATAACATGCCACACTTTAACACTATACGTCATATTCATTGCTCCCCCAGTGGAGTTACTGATAATCTCTTATGATGTCTGTCCACGATACCCCCTGCTAAAAGGTATTAAAGACAGCTACTGCATGCTTTTGTTGTCCGCTGTTAGCTGGTGTACATACTGCTTATCACATAGGAAATACTGTTCTGTTCTTCATTCCTGGTTACAAATAGGTAAGAATCCAAACCAGAATCTGGTATGTATGTTTGACAGCGGGCTTCAGTTTTCTATAGACATAACCATAACTATTAGGTTAACATGGGAGTAAACTGAGTACAATTCCTTACAGCATTACAGTGCTATTTTAAGGTAAACAATAGACACTTTCTATGTGCACGCTTTCAATTCCACCATACAAATTTTAATCCCTGTCAATGTATCTTAAACAATAAAAAGGTCATAGAGTGACAGGCAGTCTCTCTCTCTCTCTCTCTCTCTGCTAGGTTAATTGTCGTCTCTTAATTGCCCATAGCATATGAATGTATGTGCCTTGCAATGGCTTGGTATCTTATCCAGGATGTACACTGGTCATCTGCCATGTACATCCAGGGATCTGGGGTGTAGCAGGGAATTCTGGGCCCTCTGACAGAATGTCACCTTGGGCCCCCTGAGTACATTCAGCTGAATGGGGGTTCCCCCCCCTCTTGGGCCCCTTCCAGGCCATGGCCCTACCTGGGATTGGCTCCAGGCTCCCCCTGACCTGGAAAAGTACTTTGAAGTTGGATTGATGGATGGTTTTTCTCTTGTGGTTTGTTGAATCAGCACAGACTAAGCAATTAAAAATGAACTGAAGAACCCTTGAGCTCTAGGGTGGGAAACACCAATATATTCTGGCCTCTGAAGAACTCGTACTCTCAGAGCATATCTCTGTGGCAAAGAAATATGACTAAATCAGCAACATTATGTCTATGGAACATACATCACTGGAACTAATAAGGGTGCATTAGATACAAGCCTGGCCTCCCCCATGGATATTGCCCCCTCCCCCTCGCCACCCTCCACACAGGCCTCCTGGCTTTGCTCTCACACTGTCTCTAGGCTCTCCCCCTCTCTGCCAGCATCGCTTCATTTCAAAGTGAAACATAATGTAATAAATCACTCTCCTCCTACTCCTCTTTTTCGCTCTTCCTGACACTTCTGTGGCTGCAGTAGTATTTTTCCGTCATAGAATGTAGCCAGTTGGCCAACAGTATCTGCTGTCCGAGTCCTTCTCCCAGTCAGCTAACAGTATCTGCTGTCCACGTCCACCTCCCAGTTGGCTGACAGCATTTGCTGTCCATGTCATCCTCCCAGTCTGCTGACGCCATCTGCTGTCCGAGTCCTCCTCCCAAGCCGTCGACAGTGTCTGCTATTCAAGATCCACTCCCAGTATGCCGACAGCGTCCGTTGTCCGAGTCCTTCTCCCAGTTAGTTAACAGTGTCTGCTGCCTGAATCCTCCTCCCAGTCTACCGACAGCGTTTGCTGTCTGAGTCCTCCTCATTGTCGGTCGACAGCGTCTGCAGTCCAAGTCCTTCCCCCAGTTGGCTAACAGTGCCTGCTGCCTTAGTCCCCCTCCCAGTCTGCCGACAGTGTCCGCTGTCCTCCTCTTCCTCCCAGTCTACCGACAGCGTTTGCTATCCTCCTCTTCCTCCCAGTCTACCGACAGCGTTTGCTNTCCTCCTCTTCCTCCCAGTCTACCGACAGCGTTTGCTATCCTCCTCTTCCTCCCAGTCTACCGACAGCGTTTGCTGTCTAAGTCCTCCTCGCAGTCGGCTAACAACGTTTGCAGTCCAAATCCTACTCCCAGTCTGCTTGTTGAGGAGGTGTCAGAACAGTTTGTGATGTTCAAAGAAGAATGGAGCACAGACGTGTGACTTATGAATGAATGGTTTGGAAAGGAAGCTGGTAGTCAAGATCTGACACTTCCTTGGTTAAAAATAAGGTTAACCAAAATAGAACTTACTGTATGTATGTTTGTGTACATGTGTGTATGTATATACGTGTGTGTGTGTAAAAATAGTTACATGACTCAATACATTCTCCAGAACAGCACTTGCTCAGTGAACTCTCTGCAAAGCCTTTTTTATCTGTACTGCTTTCTAGTGAAGTTTGCTCCTTGTTAATGTTCTTTGTCTCTCTCTTTCTCTCTCTCAATATGTATGTGTAACTGTGCAGGTGATTCTTTGCTGAAGCACAATGGAATGAAGTTTACCACCAAAGACCAGGATAACGACCACTCTGATAATAACTGTGCCTCATTCTACCGTGGCGCCTGGTGGTATCGCAACTGCCACACGTCTAACCTGAACGGGCAGTACCTGAAGGGCCAGCACACGTCGTACGCCGATGGCATCGAGTGGTCCTCTTGGACCGGTTGGCAGTACTCGCTCAAGTTTACTGAGATGAAGATCCGTCCCACCAGAGAGGAGAACAAATGACAGAGTAGAGGAAAAATACAGAATGGGAAAAGAAACTGACTACTAGGTCATAGATATTTAAGAGCTTTTTTTTCTCCAGTGACAAGAACTAATTGGTTTAGTATTCTTCTCTCTAATTCCTGTGGAACTAACACATTATTCAAACCATTCTCTTTTAATAGCTGTACGGTAATCCTTTCCAATGCCATGAACCATCTTTAGTGTTGCACTGATTTGATTGAAGCCCACAGGGCTGTACAGAGATTTGTGTCTCTCTCCTGACTGGGTTTTCAGATGCCATCACTTACTGGAGTTATGTGATTATTTCTGAGATTCCTGAAATTGCAAAACAGAAAAAAAAAAATCTGGTAATCAATTAAACAAATAGGTTGCGTGAAGCATTCTAATTGAGTTATTAATAATTAACGAATAGCTGGAAGAGCTTAGATTACACATCAAGTTAAGAGTGTTATCTGTAAGCTGAGAAGAATCCCTTGACTCCAGACACGGAAGGTATCCAGATAAGATAACATGTTAAATTCAGCTTCTGATGCATGTCTTTTGGAATGGAGCATAGTTCCTGGTGGGCTGTGGGTTCCTGTCCCATCTTTGCAGCACCCCCACAAATGGCGATTATGGATATGAAGTAACATGGTACCAAACATCATCCATCGAAGCACTCCCATCACAGTGGTTTCACAGGGGCTATTAACAAGCATATTGGACAATTTTGTTTCCCAGCACTTTTGGCATTTGACTACAAGCTAAACACTTTGGCAGCTGGTGACGGTAGAGCTAAACTGTTTTAACCCTTCCCTCTAACCTTGAAGGAAGCAGAAGCAAAGACAGTTAGTCACACTATGTTCCTGGCCTCATTTACAAGATAGGATAAATTCAATTATACTCTAAGCTGCTCTGCTCAAAGGCTGAAAAGCAAAAGTTTTCCTACACAATAAGGAACAGTCTCACAACAATTTACACTTGTAGGAAATGGGCTAGTAATAATAGTGAAGGCTTTTAAGTTTTGCCCATCTGAGTAGTTCTTTTAATAGGTAATTGGTTCCAGTTTTGAGCTGGAAATATACACTACAGTACACAAATAAAGGGGCTGCACACCTCATTTAGGTACTTAAAGCAGGGAGCCCGAGCCATCAGGGCATTTAAGCGGCTAGGTAGCCCCTAGTATCCATTTGCTATCTGTATAGTGAATCTACTGCAAGCACAGAACTTTCTGCTTCAATTCAATGAGCCAAAGTGTACAGTGTTTCATTAAGTACTGCTCAACATTATTAAAATCCATGGTAGCACATGGTTGTGTTATGGTCGAGGGCACGGAACAGGGAAAACAGGAGCAGGAGTCACAAAATTGGGCAAACAAGGGGTTCAAATCAAGAAAACACATTTAGGAACACATCACAACGTCAATGACCGGACTGGGGAAACATACTTGAACATGGACTTAAATACACAGGACTGGTTAACAACAACGAGCAACAGCTGGTAACACAGGGATTCCACATGAGGTAGCAAGTGGGCATGGCACACGGGAGGAACAGACGAGCAGGGCATGACAGGTTGTATTCCCAATCTACACAGAAGAGTTGGGAAATAGGTAACCTGAACACGAAGAGTACATCTATCGTGTTTTCATTTGCTTTTGCTTAGTGTCGCTGCATTGTTTTTGCAGGAAGCAGCATACCCCTGATTTTACCTGCAGTTTTTGCAGCGGTTTTGTATCAGTCTTCATTGCACACATCTCCGTGCCTACCAGGAAGCCAGAGGTTCCTTTTTTATTGTTAATCATATGTTTGCTTGTTCAGCCACCACCCGGCAAACCCTGGCTAATTTAAGCCCTCCTTCCTTTAGCTGAATGGTGCCAATTTGTTCCACTGCTGCCAGACCCATAGTAACACATAGCAAAATGACAGAATCTCAAACTTTTGAAGGTTGTTAAGATCATACAGTATGTAGCAATTATTTCAGATTTTTTATGACAAAAACAATAAGCGTCAATAAGGCCTAATGGCCCAAGACATAAGGAGCAAAATACCATCCCTTTGAGAAGGAATACAATGGTGTCTTTCTATTTCCACTGAATTTGCAGATAGCTTACATCGCTGATTTTAATTCTATTGTTTTAGCTGGAGTTATTTTGAAAATTCCATGATGGTCAAAGGACTGACATCAAAGCCCTTTTTGTTTTATGAAAAGGAATTCATAAATATGTTGCCAGGCAGTTAGAGGAAAAAAGTTTCTGTACAGTATAAAAAAAAAATTAAATAGACATTTCAGTAACTTACTGTAAAAATGTGCAATTGTTTTTTTTTCTGTATAAATTGAATTGTTTACTTTTTGATGTACTAAAAGCTTTAAAATAACTGTACATTTATTGTAGAGTGTATGTTTTAGAGACTATTGGAGCATGTATATTATGTCATAAAATAGCACAACTGGAATTCAAGACCATTTCTGAAAAACCCATTTAAAAGATGAATTATTCATTATGCCCTTGAATATATTTTTTAAGTATTTAATTCATTACTAGACAGAGGTTCAATTTGTCTCTCTTCAAGAACAAATTTAAGTTTGTTACTGGAATTACAGTTTGTGTAACAGAAAGTATCTGAAAACTAATGTGAAAAAATATATTTCTAGTCTGACTTTGTGAAACAACTATGAAACAGTTATACATTTTGTAATCACAAGAAATTACCAAGAATAGTTCACCTAAGGATACATTAGGTATGAAACTGAAAATCTCCCTATGCAGCTAGGGCTGCCTTGCATGGTTCGTGGGACCAGGACAAAAACCAGGCCCCATAACGTCCCACTCCTAACCCACTGCGAGCTCCTAAAGCCTATAAATGAAAAATACATTGAAGTTTTGGAAATACAATGAATATTTTATTTCAATTCAAGCACAGAAGCTTGCTTGACTCTGTATAGCTGCATTCCTATACACATGAAATCATTTCTTTTAGGAATTCTTGAAAAAATACTTGTACAAAAAAGAAGTGAATTGCAGAACTTAATTCTGCATCCTTGCAGTGAGAGCAGCTTTCTATGCCGAATGACTGTAGCTTTCCAATGATGTTTTATTGTCTTACAAAAAAAATTCAGTAATTCAGTACTGCAGCATGGATAGACTGTCGATGGGTTGAACCGCTAAACACAAAGTTTTGCGTTTAGTTGAATGTTTGTTTAAGATATGCTGGGAGTATGAATTTGCTGTCAGGAAGAAGAAAATGAAAAATAATTGTGAAAAACAATTCTTATATTTGGAACCACAAAGAGAGAGAAAGATTATAAAGAATAGAGCCTCCCCTACTGGCAGTCTCATGAAATTTAGGATATATCCAGTCACTTTTACCTTTAAGATTTTGAATGTTCTTCAGTAGAAGCATTCTGGGACTAACAAAAAAGACCTTCATATGCCTTCATTTTAATGTTTTTTTTTTTTCAATTTTATAAGGAAAAACTAAACTGTTGGCAACAAAGTGTGCATATTGGTGAATTATTTCCCTGATTTCCTACAATATGCTCTCAGTGAAGTCATATAGATTGTTTTGCTGAATCTTGATACTGTGTTTTAATGTTCTTGTTGGCATTTAATAAATATTCACGTTTTATAAGTGAGTCCTTTTCATGGCAGAGTCCTTTATGTGTGATTTCTCAAATGTGTGTTCCTGCATGGTAATGCATGGTAATTACCCCACCAGCCTGGGAATGGGTGGCGGTGTCACATTACACATTTGCCAGGTAAATGAACAGATGAGCCAGAGAAATACAACACGCTTCGGTTTTTTGGGTAGAACCTGAGTGCATATTTAAACTGCTGGCTTCCAGGATTTCCTTTAGTGTTCAGAGCCAATAAAATGCTAGGCATTTGGAAATAATTCTGAAGGGTCAGATTTGATGCTCAGTTAATTGATTTCTATTGCAGGAGTTTATAAAATCAGTTAATTCCACTTGACCAGATCGCTAAAGTAGTTTTTACAGAAAGGTTACATTTTGACTTTCAACACAACTAGACTTATAGTCCTTATAGTATTTAAGGGCTGTGAGAGTCTGCTGTCAATTGGATCATTGTCTGATCTGTCATGTCAGTGGACAACATTTGAGGCCCAAGAGGAAAGTGAAGATCTCACACACAGACAAGTCACATAGGCATCATGCAAAAATATTGAACCATATACGATGCCTCAACATCACTGAAGATTAAAAAATAATAAATTCATCTGAGTCCCAACACGCCTCCCTGACAACTGTCTGCAAACAGCAAGGAGCCTATTGTCTCACTGCAAACCTTATTATAGCTAAAATGTTAGTTTATAAATATAAACTAAACACAGTTATACTTATCTGTCCAGCATCCACAGGGAATTGTGCTGTATGGCATATATCATTTACATGCTTTAGAAATAAGAAATTAGATTAAATTCCATTTTAAACCCAGATCCTTGTATTTAAAAAAACATCACATTAAAGCAGCTGGTTTCCAAAATCAGTGAAAGCCATCAGAGCAGCCACAGGATGCCCGGCTTGGCAGCTGTAACAGCAGAGCAGCAAGGACTTCATCATCTCTACAGAAACAGTTACTAGTGGGTTTCTGCCAGGCCAACACTGATAGAATATGCAAGTAAAAAGAACAAGCAGAAATTATAGTGAATTCTGTCTTGTAAAATGCAGAATATACAACCTTTTGCTTTACTTCAGAGGGACCCCTGTGACCATGAATGGCACAAGTGGGTACAGAAAATGGATAGATGAAAGGATGGATGATGGATGGAAGAATGGATGGGTGGATTAATTTGTATTTGTGTATTTTATTTCTAAAATTGTTTAGCACTGTAATGCACAAATGCTAGCTGTGACACAAGAAACAAGGGATTCTTATACTGCAATAGGGTGACCACCTAATCCATGTCAGGAGGGACACTATGAGCTACAACAGGATTTGTAAACTTTCAATTAAAAGGACCAGGATTTCACTGAAGCACTGGGTTCTTGCCGTATGTTGATTGGTCAGTCTCCTATAATCATGCATACAGTATGTGTCAGTAATGTTAATGTGAAACAGCTGGATGAGTCTTTCAATCTAGGAACTAACCAAACATTTTAGCAGAGCACAGAACCCTTTCAGCTTTAAAGTAGTTCGTAAAAGCTGAAGTAGCTCATAGTGTCCCTCCTGATATGGATTAGGTGGTCACCCTATACTGCAATGAGATCAAGGGGAATGCCATCAGCCCAGCTTTTTTGGAATTTAAAACGTTAAGAACGTCCATGGCATGGACCGGACTAATAGATGGATGAAAGGATGGATGGTTTATTAAACAGTTCCAGTCACACCTAGTGTTTGACTTAAACACTTTGCTATGGCCCACAACAGCGGACCCCATACTCCTCCCACAGACCCCCCCGAGCAACAAGATTGTATACCTTTCCAAGTTCACAAAAGACATATAGACTGGTTGGGAAAACTCCCATGAACCCTCCAGTATCCTTGGGGGTGAAGAGTTGGTCCAGTGCTCCGCGACCAGGACGGATTGTGCATTGTTCCTCCTGGCTCTGAGGTTTAACCAACGGAGGGATCCTCCTTTCTAGTATCCCAGCATTGACCAGGGAGGCTGAGGAGTGTGAGCCCCCTGAAGTTGGAACAGACCCTCTGGTCCCCTTTCTTAAAGATTGGGAGCACTACCCCATTCTGCCTATTCAAGGGTACTGTTCCTAAACTCCATGCAATGCTGTCAGCTAAGACAGCCCAACAACATCAAGAACTTTCAAGAACTCGGGGCAAATCTCATTCACCCCTGGAACCTTACCACCAAAGAGTTTTTGACTACTTCAGTGACCTCAGCCCCCATGATGGGTAAGTCCCCATCTGACTCGTCCAGCTCAACTTCCTCCAAAGAAGGCGCATCAGTGGGATTCAGGAGGTCTTCGAAATATTCTTTCCCCCACCTGGCTAATCCCCATTTGAGGTCAACAGTTTTCCCTCCCTGCTGTAAACAACATGAGTAAAGCATTGCTTCCCCCTCCTGAGTCGCCTGACAGTTTGCCAGAATCTTTTGGAGGCTCACTGAAAGTCATTTCCCATGGCGTCACCAAATTGCCAAAGCCACTTTCCACTTTGCCTACTGATACCTGTCAACTGCTTCAGGAGTCCCACAAGCTAACCAAACTTGAAAGGCCTCCTTCCTCAGCCTGACAGCTTCCTTTACCACTGGTGTCTACCACCGGGTTCAGGGATTGCCCCCACGACAGGTACTATCAACCTTATGGCCACAGCTCCACACAGCTGCTTCTGCAATGGTGTCCTGGAACATGGCCCATTCAGGCTCAATGTCCCCTGATTCTATTGGGATGCAGGAGATGTTTTGCCAGAGGTGCAAGTTGAAGATCTCCCAGACAGGGCCCTGTGCCAGACGCTCCCATCACACCCACACTACACATTTGGGTCTACCAGGTCTATCCAGCATCTTCCCCTACCATAGGATGCAACTCAACACCAGGTGGTGATCAATTGACAGCTCAGCTTCTCTCTTCACCTGAATGTCCAAAGCATATGGGTGCAGGTTCAACGATATGATTACAAAATCGATGATTGAACTACAGCTTAGGGTGCTCTGGTGCCAGGTGCACTTATGACCATCCTTATGTTTGAACATGGTGTTCATTATGGACAAACTGTGGTTACCGCAGAAGTCCAATAACTGATCACCACTCGTATTCGTTTGGGCAGACCATTCCTCCCAATCACACCCTTCCAGGTTTCACTGTCCCCCAGCAGAATAATGGAGTCCCCAGAGGGGGTACCTTCAAGCACCCCATCCAAGGTCTCCAAGAAGGCTAGATACTCTAAGCTGGTGTTTGGTGCATATGCACAGACAACAGTCAGAGCCCATCTCCGACTCAGAGTTGAAGGGAGGCGACCCTCTCATTAACTGGGGTAAACTCAAACATACTGGTGGTGAACTGGGGATAAGTAGCCTCACACCTACTTGGCATCTCTCACCATGAGCAACTCCAGAGTGGAATAGAGTCCAGACCAGGGGTTTGGAGACTTCTCCAGGAGTTCGGTTCCAGGGCCAGAGCCGTGTATTGAGGTGAGCCCAACCTTATGTAGTCAGTATCTCTCTACCTCAATCACCAGCTTAGGCTCCTTTTGCACCAGGGGGGATAGGTTCCATGTGGCTTTAGCCAGTTTGTTCTCCGACAATTGTTCTGCCAAGGCCCCTGCCTTCGATAGCCATCCAAAGTACTCTGCACCCAACCCCCACGGCTCCCCCTGTAGGTGGTGAGCCCACAGGAGGGTGAACCCATGTCACCCATTTGGGCTATGCCTGTCCAGGCCCCATGGGTGGAGGCCTGGCCACCAGGTGTTCGCCCATGAGCACCCTCCCCACACTTAGCTAAAGGTCAGGCTCCAGTCTCCCCAGTTCAGGCAGGGTCACATCTTCATGTATGGTAACTATCATGGAGGTCTATCTGAATGACTTTTAGTCTGGCCCGTCACCTAGGACCAATTACCCTACCAGGGGCAATTGCCCCCTGACTACATAGCTCCTAGGAACACAAAGGCACAAAATCCCTCCACAGAGAAGGGATTTCTTACATGGGGTTTCATATTTTTTTCTATTAATGTAAAGTATGTTTTGATCACATCCTCATATGCAGTGCCTTTCTCAGTCACCTGACACATTCTCACTAAGTAGGCTCAACCCCTTTCAGACTCTGGCCACACATCAATGAAGAGTAGTGTTTACGAGCCACTTTGCTTTCATTCAAGCTTTCATCACTAGCAGTATAGCCATTCTACGGAAAAAAAGTTACTGTATCACAAAAACATTCTGCCCAAGATCCCTGTTATCATGATAACGGGAACAGGAATAATACAAAAAAGCTGAAGGGGAATTCAATTCCTGATAGGTCTCAGATTCTCTCAGCCTGCACAGATTATCAGTAGGGATTGATTCATATTATTATATTATTAGTTCCTGTTTACTAAATGGGGGCTCTGACATCCAGCAATGTCAAAATCAAAAAAGTGGAGTATAGAGCTGAGTGGTTCTTTTCAAACAAAACCCTGGGAATTTCACAAAATGAGGATACAATAAATGCAGCAAAATAGAATCCCTGAAAACTGAAAAATTAACTGGTAACACTACTGGAGGGGCAAAAATAATGCAGTTATTATATGAATTCATGTATTTCATGCAGTTACTATATTTGTTCATGTTGTTTCAAGTTTAGGTACCGTATTATGTATAGTGTTACTGAAATGTCTAACAGGTGGAAGGTTGTACACCCCATTCCCTACAGGCACTCATCTACTTCAACGCAGCTCAGCACAGGATAAATTGTATCGGTTTATGATCCACTGGATACTCCATCGTGACAGAGTTGATTGACAGTTGTGGGTCTTCACGTTGATGAAACTAGATCCTTTTTAATCTGGGTTAGGCTGTCAGTCCAGACATCTCAGGATCTGATGTTAGCAGGTTTAGCTTCTGAGCACGGATAGGCAGTCTCTTGGTTATTTCTTAGGGTGGTGCTAGAGTAGATGTATCAGCAACAGAAGCTACTTACCCACCTGGCACAAGGCGGCACTAGGTAATCTTCTCTGTCTCCAGCTCGTCCTCATTGGGGGCCTTACCTCTAAAGCCCCTAATTAATCACAGAACTCAGAGCTGCAGATTCACTCACATTACAGGTTCCTTCAGGTACTGTACACATGGCTGAGCCTAACAGACATTTTTACATGAGGTTTATAGCTAGGGTTATGGTTGCAATCAGGGTTATAGATATGGTTAGGAGTAGGATTAGGGTTGCTTTTAGGGGTGTGGCAGCTACTTCATTTGACTCTTACTTTCACTTGACTCTAACATTACAAAATGATTAGATGTTATTATGGATTCACACCTCCAGGGTTGCAGTTTGTACCCTGACTCATTACATGTGGCATTGATGTATCTTCATAATCAGATCGGTTTGATGGATCTTGATGGATCCTTGACAGAATCCAATAGTGTTTCAATTAGGGGAACCAAAGTATGAGGTGAGACATGAAACCTGCTCCACACTGACATTCAGATCCTTGCTGGCTTTTAAAATAAGATTACCTTTTTTACTTAGAAATAATGAAGTTCTCCTTTCTTCCCCATCACATTTTCCTCTCGATCTTACCTTTTGGATAATGATGGGGAATCCTGTTCTGCTAGTTGTTTCATTATTTTCATCTCCAGACTGTGTCAAGCAAAAAATCAGCAGGCTTATAGTGTTTTTTTAAAAAAAAAAAAAAAAAAACATGGGCATAATGAAAAATGCATGAACCTGGAGCAACTCTGAAAAGTCTGATAAAATTATACAGTACCTACAGTGCTTCAAACAAGTTTTCCTGGGTGACTAATAGATACAAATGTGCAAGAGGATTTGTATGCTACAATTCAACGAGCAAACAGAGTGTAAAATTAATTCAGAAATGTTCCATAACCCGATGCATTGCTTCCTTGTAGGTTCTTCCACTATCCATCTCTCTGCATAACAGTGGTGTTTCGAATTAAATTGATTAAAGCCAATTTAATATTCTTAATAGTGTAGAAGCAAGATGAATGCTTCGATTATCAAAAATCTTGTATTTACTTATTAAATAGCACATCATTAATGGAAAAAGGATCCATGCCTCTTTCAGCTTTTGCCTGTTCCTACTGATGTATGCTTTACACTACCAGACTATACCAGAGAGAACCTGATGGTACAATTCCCTGCTTGTTTTACTGAATTTCCCTGTGAATATATAAAGATATAGTCATGTCCTGCCCGTCATGTCTGTCTGGCCCTCCCATCTCTTCTCCAGCATGACTCAAACGAGCCATGCCTGTTTCTCGTTAGGTCCTCGTTAGTCTGTGTATAAAACACCCCCTTGTCTTTTGCTCCCTAGTCTGGTGATTGTGGTCCTCTGTGCTATAGATCCCGATCCTGATCCTGATCCTGATCCCGATCCCCCTTCTGTTTGACCCCTCAAGATCTTTTTGTTTTGGTTCTTTAGTTTCTGTTTGGAATAGACCTCCTGTAACCCCACCTCCGGCTCTGTCTGGGTCCTCCCTCCTTCATATTTGTGACAGATATCAGCCTTGCTGAGTGTCAGGAACAGGACCAGGAACAGATTCCATCTTCAGCGACTGTTTGGTATTGACTTCATTGATATTCAGTCTTTTAAAGAATGTTTGCACCATGCTGTTTACACATTTCTAAACAGAAAATATAATATCAAAACCAAATAATAGTCCTGCATTATATATGTTTTTAAAGGCACAGCTGTGGAGGTGAAAAATGGCACCATGCTACCCTGATTCACCTGGCCAGCCAACCTTTGCAGTCAGAGGAAATTAATCAACACCCTTTGGGTTCCTGAATTCAACCATGCCGTGGCATAAATGCCGTGATTATTCTATATATTATACCATAGCAGGCTGTATAATTTGTGAAATTAATATAATCATTGGTTAAAATCCAGAAAGCAGTGCGGGCATAGCAGTTTTGTCACAGCTGGCCCTGATTTACTGATCCGGTAATTTGGTCTGGTCTGGTCTGTGATGGTGGCAATTAGAGCCCAACCTTATTTAAGCAGAGCAGTGAATAATTCTCACGGCTCGGTCATCATCACTGCTCTTAACACATAGGGCTCAGCTGGCTCTCAGTCAAAGGTCAGTTTTCTGGGGCTAGATGGAGTAAGTCTGTTTCCTCTGTACCTGTCAGTAGCCAGCAGGTACTGACTTGGTGATTTGGGGGGTTGGGGGTCATCATTCTTCTTGACTGATATCTTGTTTTCGGTTTCTGGTTAGCTGGTTTGTGGTTTTGGGATTCATGGTCCCAAGTGGCTAGCATTCCATAGCTGATGTGCTGTGCCACTGGTGTCCTGTCTTAGGGGTTTCCTACCCGTGTGTCCTGGATGTTTCTTTTAGGCTCCCTGGTTCATGGTCTGGGTTCTTCAGTCCTCTGCATCCCAGACCTGTCCATCCAGTCAGCAGCCCATGTCCTCCTGGTTCCCTGTTTCCAGCAGTATTGGGACTGTTGGTCTCAGGGGGCAGGAGACCTGACATGATGCATTGATGGCCCAAGTCAATGTGTTTTGTTGCAGACTTAATCTAGGAAGGCCAATAAAAGGTTTTAATTAGTAAGCACTGAGTCTGAGTAAAGCTGGCTAATATGTTAATAGGAAACATGTACTGTACCTGCATTTGTCCATTATCTTGTAATAACATTTTTTATACCTGTTCTGTATGTAGTTTGGATATCATACCTTAAAATAATAGTAAATAAGTATTACTGCTAGGATATTTCTATAGTCCTTGCTTCCTCATGACCCATATCACTCTGATGGTGAAGCAAAGGCTTCATCTGACTTTCTGCTTATCCAATATTCCTTATATCACTCATAAATAAGCACAAAATTCATTACAATCATATCTATGTTCAACGATCTTATAAATCATGTTCTTTTGAGACCCAGTGGGTTCCTCCTTTGTGTCCTGTTACATATATCTCTCTTTGGTGGTTTCCTTAAAGCGGACTCATGAAAACTGATATTTTGGCTACTTCATTTTTGTTAGGTCACCCAGCAGTTCTGATCCCATTGATCTCTTTTGATCAGATGATGATTCATTCACAAACACCTGTAAAGTACAGAATACAGTGTGAATTTTTCAAACAGAGGGATGGATCCCCTTAAGCTCAAATCTGATTGGCATCACATTTAATTAAACACCTGACTTAAATGATCCTTTATTGGATATTATTATCCAACTGGTTCACATTATTTCTGCAGATCTGCTGGATGATGTTATTAATAATCTCGTTATTTTTTAGCTTTTAATATCAGATCACATAATTCCTTTTTTATCATTTAATATCAGAGCACATGTATTAATATAGATAATTCTTAAGCTTTCACAAGCTGTCTCTTACCACCTATGAATGACAAACATTTTCACTTATGTCATTTGTGGGATTGTGGCATTTATTGATATTTTTATGCTACATAATATGATGTGTGAGAAAGTGGACTTTTATATTTCTTGCACATGCCTGAAAACAGACAGCCAGTCTGCCTTTTAAATGTCACCACAAACTCCTGGGAAGACCCTCATCACTCCAGCTGGCAGAAAAAAAATGTAATGATATCATCTTCTCAAATGACACAAATGCAATGAGGGTGTGATAATGTACGTCATACTGCCATTATCGTTGAGTCATTTCCTAGGACATGGTCTTTCCTGCAACACTCGCTGAACGAGAGGAGTCACATGACCTTAAGCCACTTCTTAGTGGCAAGGAAAGACCTGCAAATATCACCAAGAACATCAAGGGCACCTCATAAGTCAAAGGATGTGCATTAGCTAAATACGAAATAAACTCCTCAGGGACATGTAGCTAAAACAGATACTACATGAAAGGCTTAAGAAGCAGATAACGTCTTCAGTGCAAAGGAACCTTCAGATTCTATTCATTTGTCTTTTGTCCATCTGTCTGGTTCATGAATCCTTTTTTATTTATTTTCTCTGGTACACAATCATCCACTCTTCTTTTCCCTTTTTTCCTTTCTGTTTATGTCTTTTAGATGCTGTGTAATTTATAATACTACAATATGCTTTAGAAGTTTTAGTTGAAACAGAAAGTGCCAAATTATTGCTTTTATTTTAATAGTAAACTTCTTATCACCTTAATGAACAATAAAAAATCCCATCTTTAAAATCAGTTTAAATAGCTTGTTGATATTACGTTAAACTGATGGTGCTATAATGCAATATATCATTTACATCAAGATCTAGATGTTGCTCTTATTTAAATGAGAATATATGCATGTCAAAGTCTGATTGATTTTTTTTCTCCATCCAGAGAGAAAATGTAATTGTTCTGTAAGACGTTTATATGTGCAAATTCTCACTCTTCACAATTTGTGCTGGCAGTCTTTTAATCACAATGTTTTTTTTTCAAAGTTAAATCCTTGTTAATTGACAAGGATATGGTGGTTTACCTTGAAATGATTTTCCATACAATGTAGCAACAATCGTACTATAATATAAAAGTAAACATTTGACTAATAGATTATAGATCTACTAATTTTAATTTCTCTAATTTAGAGAACAATGTTCTAATTCTATAAACTGCTCAGCCATCAGCCATAACATTAAAACCACTGATAGGTGAAGTGAACATCCAGAGGTGGAAAGCTCGAGGTCCAGAGAGTACAAATCCAGACAAAGATTTGGTTTCCACCAATCAGTTGAGTACTCTGTCACTCTTTATAATCAGCTGGTTGGTTGAAACAAAATCTTAGTCTGGATTTGTACTTTCTGGGCCTGAACTTTCCACCTCAATGAATAACATTGATTTTTTTTTCATTACAATGACACTTGTCAAGGGTGCTGTTATGTATTAAGCAAGTGAACAGTCAGTTCTTGAAATTGACGTGTCGGAAGCAGGAAAAGTAGACAAGCATAAGGATCTGAGAGACTTTGGCAAGGGCGAAATTGTACTGGCTAGGTGACGTGGTCAGAGCATCTCCAAAATGGCAGGTCTTGTGGGGGGTTCCCAGTATGCAGTGGTCACCTACCAAATGTGGTCCAAGGAAGGACAGCCGGTGAACCGGAGACAGGGTGATGAGCGCTGAAGGCTCATTCATGCACGTGGGGAGCGAAGGCTGGCCTGTCTGACCTGATTTCGGTAGCCCATCTGGTCCAGTCCCACAGAAGAGCTACTGTAGCACAAATTGCTGAAAAAGTTAATGCTGGCTATCAGGGGCATCGGGACCAGGGGGGGGGGGACCCCCCCCCCCCCCTTCTCTTTCCAAACAATAAATAAATAAATAAATAAATAGTGCATTCTTTACCTTTCATTATGAATCCACACATTACTGAGGCCAATTCACTGGGCATGCATGAGGAAACATATCCCTAACAAAGACTGTATCCCTAACAAAGACTGTATCCCTAACAATGATTGTAGTCCTGTATCTGACGAACATCATATGGATCAGTTAATTTTTTTTGGTTATGTCTAATTGTGAAACTGCAGCCTAAACAGTGTTTTTATTTTATACAGTATATCTTTCTTATATTGCATTCTTTCACAGTGACTATTGTACGTGTTCCCATTGTAATGTCACTATATACACCCCGCCGACACCCACCGGCAGGGAATTTCCAGTCCCTCCCAATGCCAAACTCCTTTCGATGCAGGAACACACAGTGCCTCGGAGCTTGATGCGTATATGGCTGTGTAGCCGCGGACCGGTCAGAGTGTCCATGCTGACTGTCCACTGTCGAAAGCTCCTACAATGGGCACGTCAATGTCAGAACTGAACCATGGAGCAATAGAAGTAGGTGGTCAGGTCTGATGAGTCACCTTTTCTGTCACATCATGTGGATGGTTGGGTGCGAGTGCGTCGTTTAACTGGGGTAGAGATGGTACCAGGATGCACTATGGGAAGAAGGCAGTGTGATGTGCAGGTGTAACTCAACATACAGTCATGTGAAAAAATTAGGACACCCATTAAATATTTAGTACTTTATTAAGAATTATCAATATTAAATCTTGTTTCAAATTATATTTGTAGATAAAGGTGATGTAATTGCATCACCTATGCAAAAACAAGAAACAAAGTCACTTTTTTAACAAAAGAAATTAACTAAGATGCCAATTCCTACTGAGGAAAAAGTTAGGGCACCCTGTGCCCTAATAGCTAGTATGTCCCCCCTTGCCTGAAATAACCTCGGTGAGACGCTTCCTATAACCATCTATCAATCTCTGAAATTGCTGGCAGAAAGTATCCCCCACTCTCCAATGTAGAATTCCTTAAGCTGTGTGATGTTTGAAGGGTGTCTTGCATGCACTTCCACTTCAAATCACCCCACAGCATCTCAATAGGTTTCAGATCGGGGCTTTGACTTGGCCATTCTAGAACTCCATTTCTTTCTTCCAAGCCATTCCTTGGTAAATTTACTGGAATATTTTGGGTCATTGTCATGTTGCATGGTCCACCCCCACTTCAGCTTCTGGACAAATGATCTCACATTGTCATCAAGCACCCTCTGATATGATGAAGAATTCATAGTGAATTATATGATGGTGAGCTGGCCAGGTCTTGCTGCAGCAAAGCAGCCTCAATCCATGACATTTCCACCTCAATGCTTCACTGCTGCTATGAGGTTCTTTTGCTCAAAATCTGTTTTAGGTTTACTCCAAACATGTCCACTGTTACAGTGTCCAAATAATTCAATTTTAGAATCATCTGTCCAAAGCACATTGTTCCAAAAGTTCTGGTCCTTGTCTAGATGGTCTCTGGCAAACTACAGTCTTGCCCTGATATATATATTTTTTTGACAGCAAGGGTTTCTTCCTTGTACACCTCCCATGTAAATTATACTTGTGCGGATCTTTCTGATGGTAGATGCGCATGCCTTGACATCAACTGTGGCAAGAGCTTCCTGTATGTTCCATGATGACATTTTAGGATTTTAGGAGACTTCTTTCAGCATCTTGCGTTCTGCTCTTGGGCTGATCTTGCTAGGACAACCTGTCCTGACCATGTTGGCAATTGTTTTAAATGTTCTCCACTTGTAAATTATTTTCCAGACAGTGGTAGTGGCTGATTCCAAACTCTCTTGAGATCTTTTTATATCATTTCCCAGACTGATATGCATCTACAATCTTCTTTCTTCAAATTTTGATTTGATGTCCTAGTATATCATGGAGTCTATAGCGATACTGTATGTACCCTAACGAGGTTTCCAGGGCCTTTTGAGAAAAAAGAGCCCCACAACATCACAAAACCTCCACCATATTTTACAGTTGGGATAAGGTTCTTTTCATTATAGCCATCCTTCATTTTATGCCAAACTCACCTTGAATGTTTGTTGCCAAAAAGTTCCATTTTTGTTTCATCAGACTAATTTGGTTCCAGTCAAAGTTGTAGTAGTGTTTCACAAACCCCAGGTGCTACGTTTGTGGTTGTGACATAAAAATGTCTTTCTGGCATGCCTTCCAAATAATCTGTTAGCTTGAAGGTGGCGTCTGATGTTTTTTCTGGATTTTACTTGGTCTTCTAATTCACCAACAGTGAAACTTTGGGATTTTTTTTGCCCTTCTTACAATCTTCCTCACTCTACGTGAGGGCAAAATAAACTTGGGTCATTTTCCAGGCTGGTTTGTAACAGTTCCAGCTGATGTCCACTTTTTTATTATTGCCACAACAGTAGAAATGGGCATTTTCAGGTGAGTAGCTATTTTTTAAAACGAATTCCCTAACTTACAGTATGAAGGTCAACACACTT